CGTTTACCCGATGGGCCTAGTTTTGGCCTTCTCTGGATGGGTGGTCCGGAAAACAGCATCAAATTTGGACGTTTCGAAGGGCAGGTCGTCCGGCGTTACGTCAACGGGCGATGGAGCAAAGTCCAGGGTATTGGCGAGAGCTTCTGAAGATGAAGTCATGAGGCACCAAGTAGCAGAATTTAGAGGTGTCGTCAAGCGGAAGCTTGGTCCAGTTTAATGCGTGTTTTGTACAATATTTATTGCGAAGTTGCTAGCAATGGGCCAAATTGAAGAGTGCGGCTGGCCCTTGAATTCAAAGATATCTAGAGGGTCAGTCAATTCAAGACCTTCACAGTTGTACGCAAGCTGCCTGACGCTGCTGATACACTGTGACGTTTGATCTGCCTGTAACGCTGCTGATACACTGACGTTTGATCCCTGATAATTGCTTTTGATTGCTGACATCATCCTCATTGACGACAATAATAATATACGTAGTTATAGAACATTGGGCAACAAACGACCCTGAGATTCCTATCAGAACATTGGGCAACAAACGACCCCGAGATTCCTATCTTGACAAAAGGAATCGTTCGTAGCTAAATAGTCCAAAATACGGCACTAACCACTCGGCGGCAGTTGTTGCTTGAGGTACTAGGCAGCTCCGTGATGCAGGTATGTCACGTGCATATCACTTTAGCAATTGTGATATCACACTTATCTGGAAAAAAGTGTGATATATATTCACGGTGATATCATATTCCTTTAGCACTTTAGCACATATGATATCACTTTAGCATATCACAATACGCAAGTCTGCTCTTATCGCTGTCTCATACAGCGAGGGAGACAATATCTCTATACCGGCTGTTCCAACAGATAGAGTTCAATCCTGAACAACAACCTCGCATCCTCTGCGATAATCAACAGACGGTGGGCCTGGTCCAGAAAGAGAGACCACAACTGACGTCAAAGCTAAAACACGTCGACATCCACAACTTCTGGCTAAGACAGATCCATAGAGATGGCAACATCACAGTTCAGTGGGTACCAACTACAGACATGCCCGCAGACGGCTTCACAAAACCTCTTTCAGCAGAAAAACATTCTCACTTTATAAAGCAATTGGGTCTGGTTGATATCTCATTTCGGATTGATCCAGAGGACGCTTCACAGGAGAATATTGATGATGATATTCAGATGTCATCTGACACAGAGTGAAATCTGGGGGGGTGTGTCGCAAATATTGCATGATCTTTGATGAGCCACGTGAAACAACATGTTAATAATCCACCTGTGTACTTTAAACATCTGCGGGATGGGGACCCCGCACCTAACAACTTGAATCAATCAACAACTTTTTCTCACCCAATTTCAAGCACGTAAAAAAGTGCGACACTTCTCTAAGGGCCTGAAACCATTCGGTTCCCCTTTGTGCAGCCATCCA